GTGTCACGACTTCCGCCGAGGCTGCCCCCCCTCCTGGTTCGGGCAGGTTTCTGCGTTTCGTCGTCACCGGAGTACTAGCTACTGCCGATCCCATTCTCATCACTCCACTTGTCATTTCTTGTCAATCACACACACCTGGTGCTCATTCCCCTAATTAGTATGTGTATAAGTGTTCCCTCTGTTCCCCTTGTCTTTGTGAGTGATTGTTTGTTGTGAGAGCGTGTAGCTCAGTGGAGCTACTATTCACTGTGTTTATGCCAAGGTGGATGTTTTCCCTTGTATAGTTTAGTTTGACGCTTGGGGTGTTTGATTTATGTAAACGGATTAAACTCTGGACTTCTGTATTTTACCTCCTGCGCCTGACTCCTCCTTTCATACCTCGTCACAATCAGGTTATTTTTTACTATCAAATAGGTGTCTTGTCTGTGATAAGGGCTTGGGAAATAAGAGTCGTCGCTAAATTAACAAAACAAGGCTATGCCATGGCACAGCCATCGGCTTCTACAAGCAAGCGTCACTGCTGAGGTTACTGCCTTTTTGAAGATTGTGTTCCATGATATAATACAACCAGTTGATATTATGGTTTAAATAAATGTATCTTAAATGGCACTTGCTTTTTTATTTACTGAATTGACTGTATATGGGGCAATTTAGCAATTATGATTTGTTATTTGTAATGGTTATGATAAATTAGGGGTAACACTTTACTTGACACCTAACATTATGACATGGTCATACCCATGTCATAATATGTCAACAACTGACATAAGTTGTCATAACATGGTCCTAACGCCTCAATGGACCGCAAAGGAAATCACACTACAAACTATCACCCTCATGCTCTTAAGGAAATCATGAATGTCATGGATATATTGGAACTAGTGGATATATGGAGGCTTAAATATCCTGACCTTGTGAGATATACATGGCGGAGGCTCAATCAAGCTAGTCGTCTTGACTTCTTACTTGTATCATTCTCGTTGGCACCAAAAGTTTAAAAAGTGTTGATAGGGGACAGAATGCGGTCGGACCATCAGATGATTGGCATATACATTACTCTTACTGAATTTCCACGTGCGCAAGGATATTGGACATTTTATCAAAGCCTATTGGATGACACAGTGAGGGAAAAAAGTATTTGATCCCCTGCTGATTTTGTACGTTTGCCCACTGACAAAGAAATGATCAGTCTATAATTTTAATGGTAGGTTTATTTTAACAGTGAGAGACAGAATAACAACAAAAAAATCGAGAAAAAAGCATGTCAAAAAAATTGATTTGCATTTTAATGAGGGAAATAAGTATTTGACCCCCTCTCAATCAGAAAGATTTCTGGCTCCCAGGTGTCTTTTATACAGGTAACGAACTGAGATTAGGAGCACACTCTTAAAGGGAGTGCTCCTAATCTCAGTTTGTTACCTGTATAAAAGACACCTGTCCACAGAAGCAATCAATCAATCATATTCCAAACTCTCTACCATGGCCAAGACCAAAGAGCTCTCCAAGGATGTCAGGGACAAGATTGTAGACCTACACAAGGCTGGAATGGGCTACAAGACCATCACCAAGCAGCTTGGTGAGAAGGTGACAACAGTTGGTGCGATTATTCGCAAATGGAAGAAACACAAAAGAACTGTCAATCTCCCTCGGCCTGGGGCTCCATGCAAGATCTCACCTTGTGGAGTTGCAATGATCATGAAAACGGTGAGGAATCAGCCCAGAACTACACGGGAGGATCTTGTGTGTGAGAGTGTGTGAATGTGAGTGTGTATGAATGTGAGTGTGTGCGTGTGTGGCTTCTCTTTCTGTCAGTTTGAAATATTTTTCTGTCAGAGAGCTCTAGGTGATCTCAGCTCTACAAACTCAGTGGATCTCTACTGATTCAATCTACTGCGCATACATTTCTCAGCCTACAGTCTTGTGAGATGTAGAGAAAAAAAAGAAGATCAGCTAGCTATGTCTTTCACTCTTAAATAAATCAACTATTAGAGCTGCATTATTGCATAAACTACTTGGCTTGGGAGCTTGAGATTAACTAATGAGGGCACATGACTTATGCATAATCATAATCTTTATTAATAGACCACAGATGGTGAATAATGGACAATATTACCTTCCTGGATACACAGCACTACGTTTCCATGATAAGTGATTTTATATTGGAATTACATAGGCCCAAATGGCATCCTATTCCCCATTTAGTGCACTACCTTTGAACAGGGCCTACAGAGTTCTTTTCAAAAGTAGTGCCCTATATAGGGAATAGGGTGCCATTTGGGAGGCATACTTCGTATCAGAAATTCTCTACAGTATTGGAGGGAAATGTCCTCCTATCATGATGCTGTGGTGATCTATCTATCTCTAGTCGGTCCATTGTGAAATTAAATGATCCTAATCTGTAATTTTTCATTTATCTAAGGATGGCTTAAATGGATACAATTCTTTTTGCAATACATAGTGCTCATTTGTAAAGGAGGATGGGATAGATATTGACTCGAGCATTTAACTAGACAATTTTGAATGATAAATTAATGTAATTAACAATCTGTATTTTTTGGAATTAGAGACAATCATTAGGAGGAATTAATCCTCTCTTTATTTCGATAAAGCTATCAACTATAAGTTGACGTTGTAAGCAAAATAACTTTGGTCCTTGTCATGAGGTGTCAACACAGCAGAGAAACCAGAGGAATTAAACAAGCAAAGAGAGAAGGGCGGAGAGAACAATGCACAGAAGGAGAGTGAGAGAAAGAGAGATGGAGAAAGAGGAAGGGGTAAAGTAAGGAGAGAGAGAGAGAGAGAGAGAGAGAGAGAGAGAGAGAGAGAGAGAGAGAGAGAGAGAGAGAGAGAGAGAGAGAGAGAGAGAGAGAGAGAGAGAGAGAGAGAGAGAGAGATTCACTCAAAGTTCACTTCAGAGAGTCGGATTAAGATTCAGCACTGCACACTGAAGATAGTTGTTCACACAGCTCAGGGCCCAGTAGCTCTCTCTCACCCGACCAACCGTCTCTTCCCTCCCAGAGAGCTGGGCCTCGACGCTGGGCTCCTGACACAAGGCTGGCTGGCTGCAGACATTTCACAGTCTGGTGAGCATTGTCCAAACAGCCACCACACTTTACAAATCAATATGTTCACACCGACAGCCATACAGACAGAGAGGACTGACAGACACTGCACTAGTTTGGTGCTGACTGACTGGAGCTATGTGTCTGCTTACCAAATGGTACCCTATTCTCTACATAGTGCACTACATAGGGCTCTTGTCTAAAGTAGTGTATTATATAGGAAATATGGTGCCATTTGGGATGCAAATTATGTTATTCCTGTGGGGCATGCTGCCTGTCTGCCAGTCATGTCTCCATGACTCAGCAGCAGGTTCCACTCTGGGATGGGGTGTGCAGGATTGTCTGTGGGTGCACCCCAAACGGCACACTATTCCCTATGTAGTGCACTACTTTTGACCATGGCCGATATGATTAATAGGGTGCCATTTGGGACTCAGCCTACAGGTCATTTCATTCTCACAGCCTCACAGGGGCCCTCCCCAGCAGTTTTAAATTAATAAGGGCTACTCTACAAAGGCAGAGCTTTACTCTTCAAATCATAGTACAGCCCTCGAACCATAATGATTTTTTGAGGTGGGACTTGGGAGAAAAACTTGAATCTAAGTAAGCTGAGTCTATGAATAGTCTATGAGTGTGTAGTGTCGCAGTATTGCAACGCAGTGCTGCAACATAATGCAAGGCAGTGGATTTGATTACTTTGACTTTTCATATATCAAGATTCACAATTAACTTAACTTAAAGACCCCTAAGTGAGAGAAATAACATACTATGTCACTGAACTAAATAGCTATAGAAATGAACTACATTGCTGTACCAGTGCTTTTGCCACTTTAAGATACAGTACATTAACTTCAAAAAGTATTTTACCACTAATAATGTCCACTGAACATAAATATGAACGCAACATGTAAAGTGATGGTCCTATGTTTCATGAGCTAAAATAAAAGATCCCAGATATTTTCCATACGCACAAAAAGCATACTTTTCTCAAATTGTGCACAAATTTGTTCACATCCCTGTTAGTGAGCATTTCTCCTTTACCAAGACAATCCATCCACCTGACAGGTGTGGCACATCAAGAAGCTGGTTAAACAGCATGATCATTACACAGGTGCACCTTGTTCTGGGGACATATCTCTATTCCCAGTCATGTGAAATCCATAGATTAGGAGCTAATTTATTTATTTCAATTGACTGATGTAACTCAGTCAAATCTTAGAAATTGTTGCATGTTGCGTTTATATTTGTATTCAGCGTACTTTGCGTTCCTTGTGTGGCTGTCATTAATAGCATTAATATGCTTCAGTGGCAGGTAGCAGTATTGTTAGGTGCTTGTCTGTATCTTACACACACACAGAGTTTGGTGCTTGGCTATGCTTAATTAGTGAGAAGGCTGAGCATCAAGCACCATTTCAAAGGGAAACCCTCCCGAGTACTCCACTGCAGCACGCATTGGGTTGCGTCCCCAATGGCCCTTGCCAAAAGTAGTGCATTATATAGGGAATACGGTGCCATTTGGGACGCACCCATGGAATCCATCAGAGCTATGTAGTGGCTGGTAGAGGGTCATTAACATATCAAACAGTGGTGCTGCTTCACTCACATAGTGACTAAACAGTCCTGCATGGCTGGGTCATGGTATTATTATGCAAGGCAAAGCTATAGTTCAACGTTATAGAGGAGCACACTCTCACCACTGTTACAGAGCCCACTTTGCTTTTAATTATTTTCTCCCTGGTAGGTTGTCTGAAATGTTTCAATAGCCCTCGTGCTGTACTGAGTCAATCCTTGTGATGAGTACATTTTAATCATTTTAGTAGACTCTTAGCCAGAGTGACTTACAGTCAGTATATTCAACAAAGGTAGGTTAAAAAAACACATATCACAGTCATTGCAAGTATACTGTATAGCATAGTCATTGCAAGAGTCCTTACCGTAGGTTAAAATGTACAGTGGTTTTCCGTTGGTGTCCATAGTGGTGAGGCATGGGGCTTTGGGAGAGATGGTGCCCCACCTCTGCAGGGCAGCCTCCAGCGACGGGGGCCAGTTAGTGACCACCCCTAGCTGCTCCCCCCTCATCGCCAGCATCTGAGCCCCCTCCGCTTTGGGCTGGTTGGGGTCTGGCTGTTGGACTAGAGCATGAGCAGCACAATGATTTATGTTATAACAGTAAAATCATCCCAAAAGCATCCTTAATTACAGCCTATTCCCTACATAGTGCACTACTTTTGACCAGGTCCCTATATTGAGAATAGGCTGTCATTTGAGACGCAGCCTGAGATTATTTAATAACAACAATAAGAACCTGTAATAATGCTAAACAACCAATACACAAAACTAAACCCATTCAGAAATCAACCAATCAAAGGTTTTGTTTTTTAATATGAAGTCTCCATGTTGAATAAGTAGGGATGGATGGCCCTCTTACCCTCTAGGAGTTCTTCGAAGTCGTCAACGAAGAATTCTCTTAAGGGAGGCCGTTTGGGTCTCTTCAACGTGTTGACTAGCTGTTGGATTTTGGCTGACACTCGGCCACCTAATGGAACGCCTGTAGGGGTTAACACACACACACACAGAGTTCACTACACATGCATATAAACTGCTATATTTCATGTACATTTCTATATGTCTAATTGGACTAGCATGGCCACTTCTCAAACTCTTGTCACTTTAGGGCATTCTGAGACGAGACAGCCACACTTCAATGGGTAATATGCAAAGTGTCTTCTCTACAGCAGTGGTTCCCAACCTTTTTCGCTTACTGTACCACCAACTGAATTTTCCTCTGCCCAGAGTACCCCTGAAGTACCCCCTCATGTCCATTTTACCAGTACGCCTATGGTCACATGAGTCTTCTCAAGTACCCCCTGTGGATAGGCCAGGTACCCCCAGGGGTCCTAGTACCCCTGGTTAGGAACCACTGCTCTACTGCATATAGCAGAGCTGTCCCTGTTTAAAACATCTGCTTTTGTTCCAATGACACTATCCACAGGCATTTTCTCTCCAATGGCACTTCTTCTCATGGTACTCAACATACCACAAAGACTGAGGGAGTGAAAAGTGGCACACACACACACACAGGTCTGTCCCTCAAAACAATCCATACACACACAAGGGGTAATCATTTTTGACAGCATCTTTTGATTTAAACAAAACTTTCCATACATGTTTGCCCATGGAAGAAGTGGCCAGAAAGTGACTTTTCAGACCTGAATGCCAAAACATTCAGGAGACATTTTGCATACCCCACCATACCATGAGACATTCATGTCTTCATCACTGGAAAAGATAAACGGTTGAGTTTGATATAATTTCAAAGCTTACAAACAGGGTTGTCAAATAATTGTATAATTATAATTGTCTAATGTTTTAATAAAACATATCTTTTTTTTAATGTAAATTAATGTTTGCATATGTTGTAGCTTAAACCCTAATTTACATAATCTGAGGTTTTTGTGTTGTGCCCGCAATCGGTTGAGACACATGCTCTTAAATACAGGGTAGGTGTCATTTTAATCATATAAATAAAATGGACCTGTCCCTTCAGACCACTGCAACTTAACATTACATTTAAATTGATTTGAAATTTTTACTTCTAATTACTACCACAAAAATGGCCGCCGGTCCACCCACCGTCGAATGTCAACTTAAATGGTCATGTCTATTCTATTATTGTCACGCTCTGGCTCCGGGACTCTGTATGTTGAGCCAGGGTGTGTTCGTTTCTTTGGTTTCTGTTTCTTGGTTGGGTTGTTCTAGGTTGTTGTATTTCTTTGTTTGAGTGACTCCCAATCAGAGGTAACGAGTGTCAGCTGTTGGCTCGTTGTCTCTGATTGGGAGCCATATTTAAACTGTCGGTTTTCACCTTGTGTTTGTGGGTTTTTGTTCCTTTACAGTCATTGTCACTGTGGACTTCACGTATCGTTATTTGTTTTGTTGTTTCGTGTTTCGCTTTAATTAAATAAAGCATCATGTTCGTGCAACACGCTGCGCCTTGGTCTACTCCTTTCCAAGACGATCGTGACAATTATCTATGATTTCAATAGGTTTCCTATGGAGGATTGACAGGACAATATAAAACAGATATTCCCATTCAAGTCAACATTCTCTAATGTGTGGACCTCCAACCATCTTTGTGGTACCACTTGAAAGTTGAAGTTTCAATGTTATCCCCATTTTAGTACATTTACCAGCCAAAACATGACAACCACCCTGTATTCAAGAGCATGTTGTGTCTCAACCGATGACAGGCACAACACAAACACCTCAGATGATAGAAAATAGGGTCTAAGCTACAATATATGCGAATCTGAAGATAAGAAATTATAAAATAGTTTGACAACCCTGTTTGTAAGCTTCGAAATGATATCAATCTCAACTGTTTATCTTCTCCAGTGATGAAGACATGGATGTCTCATGGTATGGTGGGGTATGCAAAATAGGTCAACTTTGAGCACATTTATCTCTTGAATGTTTTGGCTTCAGATCCAAAAAGTCACTTTCTGACCACGGGCAAATATGTATGGAAGGTTTAGTTCAAATCAAAAAGGGGTGCTATCAAAAAGTGATTGAATTCAAATGAATTTACCCAAGGCTGCCACTCAAATATCAGTCTAGGCTACCTGTAGTAGTCTAGATAAAACAAGTCAATAGCACAAAAAAAACCAAAAACATTTAAAATCTCTAATCACAAGTTTGGCCATGGTACTGAAGTTGAGGAGACCGACAGTTCTTTCCAGAGACCTCCCTGAGTATTGCAACCCAGTAAGCCCCATCTGTAAAGCTTGGCACTTGATCTATCAAGCAGACTACCGACGACGTGCGCGCTGTGCGGTCAACAAATCTATTCCTCAGCACTATTGATTGGAGCATCTGATGAACAGATTAATCAGTGCGATGCTGCGATGCCGTATGCCTCAGGAGAACAAATTAAAATAGCAGAGAGACTCCCACATTGGCATACTCCATCATCTCACTGGAGCTCATTCAGAACAAACGTCAGAATCCATTTTGGGTCTGCGTTTCAGGCGTCAGATGCATTCTATTCTACTCACATCCCCTAAGGATTTCACTCACCTCTGATGTGTCAAAGAAAGCTTCCAAAAGTGAGCCTTCAAAAGTGATGTGCTCAAAGAGCAGTAACAGGAGTGTAAATGAAGATAAGTGAGTGACGTGTCTGTGTTAAGAGGAGACTTTGAATTTTACTGCTCTTATTAAAGTCATTTCTGGTGTCTGTTACAGATCAAACTGAAAAGTTATTTGATGCCAAATGCAATAAATCAATCAAAGATTATGAAAAGATTGATTATTGTGTCATTCCATTCACAGTATTGAATCATAAGAGGCATCAGTAAAACATTATTTATCAGCACTTGTTTCTCTTTAATGTTTCTCCCAAAACAGTGTCATCCATAACCTAATGACATAACACCATGACACAAACACTTCAAAACAGTGTCATCCATAACCAAATGACATAACACCATGACACAAACACTTCAAAACAGTGTCATCCATAACCAAATGACATAACACCATGACACAAACACTTCAAAACAGTGTCATCCATAACCTAATGACATAACACCATGACACAAACACTTCAAAACCGTGTCATGCATAACCAAATGACTAAGCAGGATAAACATATTGTTTTATTTTTTGGCTCCATATTGTTTTATATGAGGTTATAGTACAGAATGCCACCTTTTATTTGAGGATGTGTTCATACATATCTGTTTTACCGTTTAGAAATGAAAGCACTTTATGTATTTAGTCCCCGCATTTGAAGGTGTTATAAGTATTTGGACAAATTCACTTAGTGTATTACATTTTGTACAAAGTTTAGTATTTGGTCCCATATTCCTAGCAGGCAATGACTACCCTACATCAAGCTTGTGAATCTACAAACTTGTTGAAAGCATTTGCCTTTTATTTTGGTTGTGTTTCAGATTATGTTGTGCCATGAAAACAAATATAGGTCACACACATGACCATGGTCACACACACACAAGATCACGATCACACACAAACGGTCACACACACAATACCCCAACTCCTCTATGTACTCACCATCTCCGGTCTCCATGAGCTCTGCGTTGCCGTACTTGGGCGTGGCCCTGGATGCTGTGGTGGAGCCCTGGGGTCTCTCCACCTGTATGGAGTCTGTGGTGTAGCTGGTGACATCTGGAGGGGCAGAGTGGTTCTCTGGACGTGAGGAGAGGCAAGGTGAAGGAAGCCTGTTACTGTTAGTCCCCCCAGCCCTCAGCCCTATAGCTAACCAAGGGCCACAGCAGGCCAGAGGCTGCCACAGCCAAGCCAGCACAACATTGAGGGGTGGGGGGGAAGAGTAGGGCTGCGTTTCAAATGGCACCTATATAGTGCACAACTTTTGACCACCGCTCATACATACCAGAGACCTATTGGCCCAGGTAAAAAGTAGTGCACTATAGAGGGAATAGGGTGCCATTTGGGACACACTCAACCTAGGACAGGATGAGACAGGGGGCAGGGGTCCGTGGGCACACAGACAGACAGACAGACAGACCGAGAGACAGACAGACAGACAGTCAGCCAGACGATGGGCCACAAGGGTTAGTCTAGTAAGGTCAGGAGGCGCATGCAAACTGGTGTCCCCAGGTGGAGAATAGACAGACGTAGACTATGGTTAATTCAAGTAAAAGTTGACCTGAGGAAGGAAATGTTTGAAATGCTGCTGTGTTTATCTTGGTACTTCCATAGTTCCATAGACCTCAGCCCTTATCAATATGATCTGTTTTGATATCGCAGCGAAAGTGTTTCATGTCACCTCATTTGCATTCAAGGACCCCTCTAGTTAGTTTTCCTTTGAAAACAGATTAGAGGTGTTTGAAGATGAGATAACGAACACCTTAAAGTCCATCCACTCCACGAGAGGGATGTACCTCTGCAATGACCCAAAAACGATTTTAATATAATCTTAACTTTATCTAAGTAAGAACTACTCCCAAATCTTGGCTACCGAAAATAGCGTTGCCACATGGCACAGCCATTGTAACTCACATACAATATATTGACTTAGACTTGTTGATTTGTGGACTATACTAGGCCTATAGCTTCGCATACATCTCTGCTGCACACATTTCTATGTGATGTGTGCGTGAGATTGAATGTGTGGGACCACGTCAAATAAACTAATGCTAATTAAGTTGTCCATGTATGAGTCACCAAGCTGATAGTCACTCAGTCAGATTGTGATTAAAAGGGTGATCCGCTTAAAAAAAAAAATCCAGAGCGATTTAAAGGAGCAATTAGGGTTAAGTGCCTTGCTCAAGTGCACAGACAGATTTTTCAGCTAGTTGTCCCGGGGATTCGAACCAGCGACCTTTCAGTTACTGGCCCAACGCTCTTAACCATTATGCTACCTGCAACCGATCTGGGATTCAAACAACAAAACAGACACACACCACCACTTTTTTGTAAACAGCTGAGGGAAAGTTAAACAAGTTTATATTTTGGGCTCCGATGGGGTAAGAAAATGTAACTGAGCTCATGATCATTAAGGCACTTAAAAGTTATATTCTTCAGTCTAAAAATATTATTCAGTCTTAAAGGGGCAATCCCAGATTGCCCCTTTAAGTCCAGTACTGGAGTTGCAGGATATTTGATGCACTTCATGGAAATATGTTTGTAATCATCACCGCCCACTCTTCCATTCCCTGGCCATAACATCATTCCTCCAAATGCTTCAACATTACATAATTGATGCAACGCTTCCGCCTCTCCCTCTGAGACTTCCCACGTGTGACATTAACCTTCACTGTGAAAAAATATCTACATTTCTACTTTCTCCCACTCCTCGACTCGTATCGCTTTTCAGATTCTTTCAAGTGCCAGATGTTTTTGAAAGTCTAATCATGCCGTGAATAGGGCTGTGACGGTCATGGAATTTTGGATGACAGTTATTGGTCAGCCAAATGACCGCAACTTCATCACGTTGTAAAGAATCCATGTTACTGTGGAAACGGACTCAACCACACAAATGCCCGACCGTCCCGTTTACAGTCAGCTGTTTGTTCCACCTGTATTTTATTTATATTTAAAAAATTACGGTTATTTTATTTTCACGACGGTCTTAATCCATAATCGTTGGTTACACAATAATCTTGTAACCGTCGTAAAGTAGTTGTGAATTCATGTTTTCTCCGTCATACCGCCAGGACAATGTAAAAAAGCATCAGACGTTACTTTCTCTCCCTGATAGATTTGGACTGGTGGATGTGCGTGTAATATAATTCCAGACACCATTTGGGAGGAGAAACCACAAGGAATTTCAATGAGGTCCCTCACTGTCTTTCCTTTACATTCCTATTACTCAGTCTCTTTCCACTGCAAAACACTACATCCCCAGTCAAGGACCATACATAAGCTAAAGTGGATACACTAGCTAGCACACATAGCACTTATCTATAAAGAGCCAGTAACCAGATGGAAGTCAGAGCAATATCGTTCAGACCATCATACTATCTGCTATGGGTAATCTTCTTTTCAGTGACAATTCATCATGAACGTTTAATATCCCTATATAGGCCTATAGAACAAGAGCTTCCCAAAACTGATTTTCGCATCTACAGATTTATGAACATAGAATCACACGATCATCTCACCTTCCACTATTTATAGTCTGTGTCCCATATGGCACCCTATTCCTTATATAGTGCACTACTTTTGACCAGAGTCCTATGCGCCCTGGTCAAAAGTAGTGCACAAAATAGGGAATAGGGTGCCATTTGAGACCAGTGTGAGGTTAGATAAATAGATACATGGGATAGGTGGAGAGCTCCAGACCCCACTAGATTAAACAAGACTCACATTGACAATGTCAGACCAAGGACAACATCACTGCCGCCCCCACTTAGTCGCTCTCTCAGCCTCTTTCCTTCTCTCTCTCTCCCTCCCTCCCCCACTCCCTAGAATAAGCCAGTAGCTGCTTATGTAACCGGCGAAAAGGCTAATAAATAATCAAATAAATAATTATATTATTATTAATAACTTCAACACATGGTGCTAACGTGCGAGAAAGTCATATTCCTAATGCCTTCAGAGCTGTGTGAGAGCAAGACAGAGCGAGAGAGAGACAGCGACAGAGCGAGAGCGACATAGCCAGAGCGACAGAGCGAGAGAGAGCAAGAGAGACAGAGAGAGCAAGAGAGACACAGAGAGACAGAGAGCGAGAGAGACAGAGAGCAAGAGACAGAGAGCGAGACAGAGAGCGAGAGAGACAGAGAGCGAGAGACAGAGAGTGAGAGAGAGCGACAGAGAGCGAGAGAGAGCGAGAGAGACAGAGAGCGAGAGAGAGCGAAAGCGACAGAGAGCGACAGAGAGCGAGAGAGAGCGAGAGCGACAGAGAGCGAGAGAGAGCGAGAGAGACAGAGAGCGAGAGAGAGCGAGAGAGACAGAGAGCGAGAGCGAGAGAGAGCGAGAGAGACAGAGAGCGAGAGAGACAGAGAGCGAGAGAGACAGAGAGCGAGAGAGACAGAGAGCGAGAGAGACAGAGAGCGAAAGAGATAGAGAGCGAAAGAGACAGATGTTTACCTGTGGCTGAGTACATAAACACTGGCCACTAAGCAGGCCAGAATGTATGCTGGCGAGAGACTAAGTATGTGTCCCAAAATTTGTGCCATTTGGGACTCACACCAAGTCCAGGGGGCTTCAACAGACCTTAGCAGAATCTATAAAGATGATCTGTGACATGACTGAATGATCCTGCTAGATCATGCAGTCATAGTCCTTGAATGATCATGACAATATGACCATAGTCCATGTGCCCAAGAACGCCAAGGTAACCTGTCCAAATGACTATCGCCCCGTAGCACTCACATCTGTAGCCATGAAATGCTGGTCATGGCTCACATCAACACCATACCACCCCAACAGATCCACAGATGATGCAATCTCTATTGCACTCCACACTGTCCTTTCCTACCATCACAAAAGGAACACCTACATGAGAATGCAGTTAATTGACTACAGCTCAGCGTTCAACACCATAGTGCCTCAAAGCTCATCACATCAGCCTTGCTGACCCTCAACACGAGGGCCCCTCAGGAGTGCATGCTTAGTCCCCTCCTGTACTCCCTGTTCACCCACGACTGCACGACACCAACATCATCATTAAGTTTGCAGACGACACGACGGCGGTAGGCCTGATCCCTGACAACGATGAGGGCCTGATCCCCCTCAACGTCAGTAAGACAAAGGAGCTGATTGTGGACTACAGGAAACGGAGCGCCAAGCACAACCCCATTCATATCGACGGGGCTGTAGAGGAGCGGGTCGAGAGCTTCAAGTTCCTCGGTGTCCACATCACTAAGGATCTATCATGGTCCAAACACACCAACATAGTCGTGAAGACGGCACGACAACGCCTCTTCCCCCTCAGGAGGCTGAAAAGATTTGGCATGGGCCCTCAGAACCTCACAAAGTTTTACAGCTGTACCATCGGGAGCATCTTGACTGGCTGCATCACCGCTTGGTATGGCAACCGCTTGGCATCCGTATGCAAGGCGCTACAGAGGGTAGTGCGTATGGCCCAGTACATCACTGGGGCCGAGCTCCCTGCCATCCAGGTCCTCTATACCAGGTGATGTCAGAGGAAGAGTATATAGCTACCTCAATTACCTCGTACCCTGCACATCGACTCGGTACTGGTACACCCTGTATATAGCCATGTTATTTTCTACTCCCTATATATAGCCATGTTATTTTTACTCGTTATTCACTGTCACTATTTGTATTTGCATTTTATTTTTTACCTCATCTTTCATTCTGCCTTGTTGGAAAAGGACCCGTAAGTAAGCATTTCACTGTTAGTCTACACCTGTTGTCTATGAAGCATGTGACTAATAATATTTGATTTGATTTGATGAATCTCTCCTTTACAGCACAACACCTAGAGGAATACTAATGAGATATAGGGAATCCAGCCACAGCTAGACTACACCTCGGCAGGGGCAGAGGGACACACTGTACTGCAATGGAATCCCTATGGGTCGTCACATAGGCCGCGTTGCCATACTGTATCTAGCAACGCAGGGATAGTTGCATCATACAATGTACTGTAGTTATCCAGGAACGCAACAATAAACTGCAAAACTTGATTTCATTAGGAATGGGAATCTTTCCAGAATGGTGTTAATGGTTTCTGTGGTGTTCTCAGATGTTAACTAATAGTTGATTAGAGTCTGGACCAAGCCTTTTATTTCAGAACATTCATCTACTTCCACCTGGGGGATTCTTTTATTTTCTCTAGTCGTTGGATATAAACAGAGAAACAACTCATTTCACTAATTCACTCTCCCTGCAGAATAGTGACTGATGGGATAACAGATGGGTTCAATCAAAGCATTCTTCAATGCTGGTTCAGTGGATTCTTTAAGCATCCAGCAGAGTTTTGGCACCAAAAAGTAACTTGCACAGGGCATTTTAAACAGACTACTTAAAACAATGTGGCACCTGCCTAAAGTTCAGATGTAAAGTGTACCCTACCCAATATTCATTTCTGTATCAATGTGAAAGATTGGGAGGGCAGAGAAGTGTCTAAGAGCAGACAGAGAACACATTTTGCAGCAAGCACCACCTCCACGTAACTGAAGCAACCATCAATCTGCTTTGTTTCAAAGATGAAAAGCATTCTAGAACACATTCCGTCTCTTATCTTGCCAAGCAAACAAATACATATATTTCTCACCATTAAAACAAATATTTCACAGCCATGAAAGCAAAAAAAGAATTGGCCACACACACTGGTTGTGTCCCAAATAGCACCCTATTCCCTACATATGCACCACTTTTGACCAGAACCCTACCGGCCCAGATCACAAGTAGAACACTATATAGGAAATAGGGTGCCATTTTTGGTGAATATACTACTTTCCAGACCTTAACGTTTTCCTGTAATTTTGGGGGGGATTTTCCATCAGCATCTTGGCTCTCATTCACAAGCATGAAAGCATAAACACACTGCTTCATGCGATCACAGCACTCATTAGCCAAAGCTATCCATGGGTTGGCATCACTTCTCTTCTTCTATCTCTCATCTTTTCACACAACTGTAATAAGAGCAAGGGACATACCACTTTGCCAATGAACGCCACACTTGATCATCACAAAGCAAATAGGGGGCTAGGGCAGGGCAGGGAGGCGAAGGCAGGGGGGCGCTGACTGCACCACCGCACAGTGGTCTGGGATAGTAGGATACTGACCCTGCTTCTCCAGGGGGGGCTGTTGCCAGACGAGCTCTGATCCACCTGATCCAAACTCACAGGACCGGCGCACCACAGGACCTGGACCTGAGTTCCCATTCTCTACTGTGACTGGGACCGGAGGGCCCGGAACCTTCCTAGTTTTCCTCTTCAGAGAGAGGTGAGCAATGGGCCCTGCATGTGAGGAGGAGGAGGAGGGGAAAACCAGAACCTTAAATCCAGACTACGGCAACCACACAGAGCCAAACCAAGTCACTACTGTACCCAGATGGAGGAAGGCCTCTCTGCAGGGTCTCTCAGCAAAAGAGGCATCAGCGATATGGAGGGAGGGAAAATACGGTATGCGTCCCAAATGGTCCCCTATTCCATTTATAGTGCACTACTTTTGACCAGGGCCCATAGGGTTCTGGTCAAAAGTAGTGAACTATATAGGGAATAGGGTGCCATTTGGGACGTAGCCATGGATAAGCAACTTATCTACACAGGCAGGCAGAACCACACTGATGGGAGGGAGGAGGAAGGGAGGGAGATGAACGGAAGATGGAAAATGGTTTTCCTTCAGCCTTTTAAAAAGCCAGCACACATACACTTGGGAGCTGGTTTGTTTTGTCCTCAAACGGGAGCGAAGAGGAAAACAGTCGTAACCTTCACACACACACACGGGAAAGGATATCCTCCTCTTCAATAACACACCTAGCCGAGAGAGTGCAGGACTAGAATACACTACAGCCAGTCAGTCTGTGACACACACACATCATGCTATGTTGCGACAACAAAACAGCTATGTGTATAAGCTGATTGTCATGGAAACACCTCTGAACACCAAGGACTAGTAAGAAAGTTACTCATGTGCTTGTTACATTTACATTTTAGTCATTTAGCAGACGCTCTTATCCAGAGCGACTTACAGTTAGTGAATACATATTTTTTTATTTTTTTATACTGGCCCCCCGTGGGAATCGAACCCACAACCCTGGCGTTGCAAACGCCATGCTCTATCAACTGAGCTACCTTGTTGGTATGAATGGATCTACAACAAGCTCTGGTCAAAAGATATGCCTCTCTAAAGTGTATAGAGCTTTAGTGTCTACAGGGAGCTCCCACAGTTTGCCATTTCTAGATCATAATAGGGCCAAACAGCTATGATGGTCTGTCTCCTAGAACTGTCTACTAGCTCTGTCCACCTGGCGGGGGGCCTGTCTGTCTGTGCTTTGTCTCTGGTGGCATTCAAACTGTGTAAGCAGCATGAAAATAGACTAGCCACTGGAACAGTTTACACAGACAACAGTGGTAATTCATGGTGATAGCCCTCCAGTCTGTCTTTTTATTATAATATATTTGTTTATAGAGTTTATCTACATAGGGCGTAAATGAGTTACGACATCAAGTAAATAGGCTACAACATCAATTATTATACAACTACCCTAGGGGATTAACTTTAAGTCTAGGGTCTAGAAGGAAATCTTTGTCAGGGGGTTGAGGGTTGCATGCAAGTAATAGAAAGTAACACTGAAAGTGCAGGCTAGTGTTTTGTTTGGGCTGCATGCCTTAGGGGTTGGAACATTAAAGGGAGGTACAGGATGGGTGAGGGGTGACAGCAGCAGCAAACACACACACACACACACACCCTGGTGGTATGGAGTTAGAAAGTCTAACAAGAGAGGTAGGTAAATCAAAACACACAGAGGTACAGTGCCTTGCAAAAGTATTCATCCCCCTTGGCGTTTTTCCTATTTTGTTGCATTACAATCTGTAATTGAAATGGATTTTTATTTGGATTTCATGTAATGGACATACAAAAATAGTCCTAATTGGTGAAGTGAAATGAAAAAAATAACTGTTGCGTGCATATGTATTCACCCCCTTTGCTATGAAGCCCCTAAATAAGATTTGGTGCAACCAATAACCTTCAGAAGTCACATAATTAGTTAAATAAAGTCCACCTGTGTGCAATCTAAGTGTCACATGATCTCAGTATATATACACCTGTTCTGAAAGTCCCCAGAGTCTGCAACACCACATAGCAAGGGGCACCACATGGCAAGCGGCACCATGAAGACCAAGGAGCTCTCCAAACAGGTCAGGGACAAAGTTGTGGAGAAGTACAGATCAGGGTTATAAAAAAATATCAGAAACTTTGAACATCCCACGGAGCACCATTAAATCCATTATAAAAAAGTGGAAAGAATATGGCACCACAACAAACCTGCCAAGAGAGGGCCGCCCACCAAAACTCACAGACCAGGCAAGGAGAGCATTAATCAGAGGCAACAAAGAGACCAAAGATAACCCTGAAGGATCTGTCCATAGGACCACTTTAAATCTTAAAAAGAGTGGCCAGAAAAAAGCCATTGCTTAAAGAAAGAAATAATCAAACATGTTTGGTGTTCGCCAAAAGGCATGTGGGAGACTCCCCAAACATATGGAAGAAGGTACTCTGGTCAGATGAGACTAAGCTTTTTGGCCATCAAGGAAAATGCTATGTCTGGCGCAAACCCAACACCTCTCATCACCCCGAGAACACAATCATGCTGTGGGGATGTTTTTCATCGGCAGGGACTGGGAAACTGGTCAGAATTGAAGGAATGATGGATGGCGCTAAATACAGGGAAATTCTTGAGGGAAACCTGTTTCAGTCTTCCAGAGATTTGAGACTGGGACAGAGGTTCACCTTCCAGCAGGACAATGACCCTAAGCATACTGCTAAAGCAACACCTGAGTGGTTTAAGGGGAAACATTTAAATGTCTTGGAATGGCCTAGTCAAAGCCCAGACCTCAATCCAATTCAGAATCTGTGGTATGACTTAAAGATTGCTGTACACCAGCGGAACCCATCCAACTTGAAGGAGCTGGAGCAGTGTTGCCTTGAAGAATGGGCAAAAATACCAGAGGCTAGATGTGCCAAGCTTATAGAGACATACCCCAAGAGACTTGCAGCTGTAATTGCTGTAAAAGGTGGCTCTACAAAGTATTGACTTTGGGGGGGTGAATAGTTATGCACACTCAAGTTTTCTGTTTTATTGTCTTATTTCTTGTTTGTTTCACAAATATATATATTTTGCATCTTCAAAGTGGTAGGCATGTTGTGTAAATCAAATGATACAAACCCCCAAAAAATCCATTTTAATTCCAGGTTGTAAGGCAACAAAATAGGAAAAATGTCAAGGGGGGTAAATACTTTCGCAAGCCAAGCAAGTAAGATATAAGTAGGTACGTTGGTTATTGTTGAAGGGTGGGTTTGTTTACCTGACTTACCGAGGTGCGTCTGACCCATGACATCTGCTAGCCGGCTGGCCGCCCCGCTCCCTCCACTCTGAGTGGAGGAGGAGGAGGTTGTGGAGGAGGTGGTGGAGCCGTGGATGGCCCGGCTGATCCAGTTCTCCATGTTGATGCTGCCCTGGCTGGAGGTTGGTGTGCCTTCACCATGCATGGAGCCCTCGCCTTCTGAGCCCGATGACGTGTCTGGAGAGAGGGGGGAGAAGAGCAGAGAGGGAGAGGGGAATTAGAGAGAGGGGGTCTACGACAGCAGGTAGAAACACACATGAACAAACATGAACATACATATGCACACACACACACACCTGCATGTCATTGTCAATGTCAGACATTTGCACAACAAATAAAGACAAAACTCGGTCTATGCCCTAAGGAGATGTCCTTTCTCCCATAGCATAACCCATCCACTAGCATCAGCTTCCAGGCCTCTCTCACGTTCTCCAGAGCTTGGGGACGGGGTATGGGTGCTGGCTGATGGGCTGTGAGTAGAAGCTATTTTTAAAAAAAACACCCCTTCCATCCCTCTTCAGAATTATCCAGAGTAAGCTACTTTACGGTGCTAGCATTGCTAGCATGCTATATTTGGGAAAATTGAATTCTCTCAAATTGTTTTCATTACGTTTTTTATATATAATTTGGTTGTAATGACACTACCCCACATGGGCACCATTGAAAATGATTGGCTTTCGGTTTTCCAATCTCCGCCTCTGTTTGAATCTGCCTATTCCAATTGTTGGGAGGGGCAAATGGCTTGGATACCCTCCATCTTCTTTAAGCCTATTTCTGACAAGAACTTCCACAGGCTTTCATACCGAAGGTGAGGTGAAAGCCTGGTAGAGGCTACACCTTCCTCCCTACCTATAGGCTACAGGTGCACTCCACAGAACGCATGCAAATCAGAGTTGACAGACACCTGATCCTGACACTGAGGGGGAGACAGGCTTCCTTCCACTGCATCAGAGTTAGTCAGGAAGAGCCCTTCCCCTATAGCCCTCACAGCCCCCAGCACCTCACATCATTAGGCTGACTCACTGCCATGCACCCAAATCCACTGCAACAGACATATTCTCAGCCAAACACTGTCAATCCTACTAAGCGCTAATATCACTACTCTCCACTCAGGGATGTTTTTCAACCCTAGCCAGTCATAGTGGCTGAGTCTGGGGATGAGGGAGTGGGTTTTGTGTACTTTATTTTGCATGCATTTTGCATACTGTGACAGGACAGGGCTGTCTGCCATGGGCCGGGGCCAGGGGAGAGATGAGCGGAACAAACAGAGGGAGAGAAGCTGGATCATGACGAGCCATTTAAGATCCAGGTGCACTGCAGAGTGACCTACTGAGAGAGATCAACAACAGGGATGGGCCTGGCTCTCTCTCAGTGTGTGTGTGTGTGTGTGTGTGTGTGTGTGTGTGTACCTAGCACCTCATCTACTTAAGTAAGACTACAATACAGCAGCCTCGAACCGGTTGACCTTTTCTAGTAAATGTCAAATCTGCATGGACAAAATGTTGAATATAAACATTGAATGTGATAAATTCTGGGAAAATAGAATCAGCAAAAAACATAAAGCACCTACATTAACTTAATAGGTTTTATGTGTGAACATAAAATATAAATGTATTTTTGGCCAGTAAATGTTAGAGAAAAAAAGATGTGTTATCTAGTCTAGTCCTCAGTATGTCTATGTGAGCCTCTCTCTGATACTGAGGGGCTGGCACACGGTCTTTGCCAGTGACAGCAGTGGGAGAGACAGTAACCTTTGCTGGGCTAAGGGAGGTCTCCTCCAGTGTAAACCGGCTCCAACACCCTTCAGGTCACTACGGTTCCATCCTCTCTCCCTCCCCTCTCCTTCTGCCCACCCTACCCGCACAAACACAGTCCAGCCCCACCATTGGCCGGGATACAGCCTGACATTTGATTGGCCAGCAGTGTGTAGTACAGCACTCTTTGATTGGCTGGCTGGTGGTGTTGTCAGGGAGGTGTCAGAGATAGCTGTCAGTCCGTTCACACCTGGGCTCTCCTGCGTTGTTGGCACTGGGACAAATAAGAGACCAGCCGTGTCGTGTGGCAGAAAGGGCTGAACACTCTGGGGACCAATCAGAGCTGCCGCACCGCCATGCTGCGCTTAAAAAGGAACTGCTGCAACTGGCCCTCCAGGTCTCAGCTCTTAGTGATGCTTTGTTGTGGCTGTTCCTCGTTGGTGAAATGAGAATCCTTCAAGTGCATTGTTTTACAGTGGACCAATATGGCATGTGGATAACAACATGTGCAGAACTAACCTATCGGCTACCGTTGTCGACAGTGCCACCATTTCTGAATGCCATCTCCAGTTTTTACTGTTTTAGTCTGGGCCTCTTCAGTCTCTGTGAGTGACAGTCTCAGCAGCTCAAGCAGTGCTAGATTGCAATGAAAGGCAGGAAAGCCTCTCAGAGGCTGCGTGCAGAGTGGGCCAGCACCACTTGTCGACGGCAAAAATACACTGCTGCCAGGCAACCGCCTAATCATATTACACACACACACACACACCCAGATGTGCACACGAGCGTACACACACACACACAGTAAGTCTCTGATGAGCCCCTGAAGACTAAGCCCTCTAGGGGTCCTGAACACATGTAATGATTCTAAGAAGCCAGACATCAACAGAGGACCTCAGTATAAGGACATGGGAGTGTGCACATGCGTGTGTGAGTGCATATACCCGATATGGCATCCTATTTGGGAAAACCAATCCATGTTGCTGGATTAGTGACCATTCCGAACTAATCCTAATCCAGTATTGGACGTCAGTATTTGATTCCGATGATAGACGAAATCTTAAACCTCTTTGTAGCAGGTCCTGTGCTAATTTAATGTTAATTAAATTGATTAGGCTTTGAGTTCTGAGGCTGCTGAGATAAGGTTGGTGTGCTACTGTACACACACACACTCTGATGTAGGAATAGAGGCATTTGCTTTCCTTTTTGTTTGTCCCTCAGTAACAGTCACAGCCAATAACATTGTAATGTGATGTATACACACAGGAGATGGCGCCCTGAGACAGACACAAATGGTACCCTATTCCCTATGTAGTGCACTACTTTTACCCAGAGATGAGCTGGTTAAAAGAAGTGCACTATATAGGGAATAGGGACCCATCTTGGGACACAGACATGTACAAAAAAGCGTCATACTAATCATGATACTAATGAATTAGAAAGACAGACTAGAAGACAAGGAGTCCATATTCTAATTGTCATTGGCATGCTGGGGAGGGATAGTGTGCTCCAATGGAATAAGGCTGCTTGCCTTGCTTGATACGATGTGTGTGAGTGGCTCTCTTGTCCCTGAATGCCCCAGCCTCCCAGGCACGAACACGGCGTGAGTGCTTTGTCACTGTTCGTTCTCCCTCAAGGGGCTGTTCGCACTGCCATATAAGAACTGTGCCTGCCTGCTCATTTGGAATCATCTGAAAATGTGCCTGTCGTGATTTCCTGCATGGTGTGTGTGTTCAGCAAATTAATCCCTGTAGAAGCCTCGGTCCCAGCCTTCAGCCCTAACGCAAATGAGATAATGGTTTCTTAAAACATCTCTCTCTCACTCACTCACTCACTCACTCACTCAAAATGTCTACTCCACAAACCTCTGGCTGGGTGGGGGCATGCCATGTTATATTCTAGCTGTTCCATTCTTACAGCTCTACAGTGCAGTACATGACAAGTGATCAACACGTTGTTGTTGTTAGTGATGTAGCGCACAGACAGCACAGATGTTGGTTAGTGGGATATTGCAAAGGGAGAAATGACCTCTACCTTTCAGCTAGCTAGTATTATTAACCATTCTACTCCTTCTATAAGCTGAGCATAATAGTGATGGAGCATAAGAATCCCAAATAGCACCCCATTCTCTATATAGCGCACTACTTTAGTCTTATGGGCCCTCGTCAAAAGTTGTGCACTATAGAGAATAGGGTGCCATTTGAGATGCGCCTAAGTCTGTGGTTCAACTCTCTTATGTTACCCAAGGGTCTGAGAGAGGTGACTGAAATGGATGGCAATCAGAACTATCCTATAGAAGAAGGTCAAAATGGCTGCTCATCAATCGGCTGTTTTTAGCTAGCATGAGTAACAGCTTCAGAGCGACTTAACTGCTCCCACGGTCATCTATGACACCATGTCAATTACTGGCTTCTTTCTGCCCTTCAAATCATCTGCTCCTGTCATTGACAGACTGGGGACGTTTTATCTATAACGGTCTCTTGAGCGCCATCAACTCTAGTGGTAAAATACTAGGATACTGAATATTTAAATTGCTGTGTTGTAGCCATATTGTACTGTTTCTAATGGATACTATCCCCAAAAACTATTTATATTCACACCATCAATTGACAACATAATCATACTTTAACGCCAATCATTCTTTCAAACTGACTCATTCGGTTGTAATTACAACCAATCAAGAAATAATGTAGATGGGGTTTTTTACACTGTGGAATGGAACTTCTGATAATATCAACAACATATATTTGTGATCAATGGATGCATTGCCAACCCAGGCTGATTGAATTGACTGACAGACATGACATGTACACACACATGGGTGAGACACTGCATCAGTGAGTTAGTGAGGGGGGAGGAGGGGCAGGGACAGGCTGGTGGCATTTTCACGCCTCCGGAGTCAGCTTTCCCTCCCCAACCCTAACCTTAACCATTAGTGGGGGAAATGCTAAACTGATCCAAGATCAGCCTCCAGGGGCAATGTCACCCTACACTAAGGTTGAATATTTTCCCGGTTTTTACAAATGTTCCATCCCGAGAATAAATCACTTTTCCCGGTATTTCCCACCCAAAACCGGAAGTCTCATTCAAAAGCCACCCTCTCATGTCACCCCGCTCCTCCGCACACTCCACTGGCTTCCAGTTGAGGCTCGCATCTACTACAAGACCATGGTGCTTGCCTACGGAGCTGTGAGGGGAACGGCACCTCCTTACCTTCAAGTTCTGATCAGACCCTACACCCAAACGAGGGCACTACGTTCATCCACCTCTGGCCTGCTAGCTCCCCTACCTCTACGGAAGCACAGTTCCTGCTCAGCCCAGTCAAAGCTATTTGCTTCTCTGGCACCCCAATGGTGGAACAAGCTCCCCCACGACGCCAGGACAGCGGAGTCACTGACCACCTTCCGGAGACACTTGAAACCCTACCTCTTTAAGGAATACCTGGAATAGTATAAAGTAATCCTTCTACCCCCCCCCCCCCCCCAATCAAAAAATAATAAAGTGGTTGTCCCACTGGCTATCATAAGTTGAATGCACCAATTTGTAAGTCGCTCTGGATAAGAGCGTCTGCTAAATGACGTAAATGTAAAAGCATTATGAAGCATATAAATATGTCTGGATTTGATTATAGCTTTGATCAGCATGAAAATTCAGTTTAAAGATGTACATTAAAGACATGTAATGAGCCCAAGCCCAATAAAGTCCAAATGATTGTGACATTATCCAATACATATGATATAGGCTAATGCACATTACGCACGACAGAAAAACATAAAAGCCCATAGACATAGCTAGCTATATGCTCTCTTGGGTAAATAAACTAAACTAATTTTGTTGAGTGTGAACTGTATTACTGTACTGTTTTGTATTATAATGTATTATGATGATAAAGCAGAAGAGAACATGTGATTCAAGTGTTAAACAAATCAATATATATTTTATATTTGAGATTCTTCATATAGCCACCCTTTGCCTTAATGACAGCTTTGCACACTCTTGGCATTCTCTCAACCAGCTTCATGAGGTAGTCACATGGAATTCATTTCAATTAACAGGTGTGCCATCTTAAAAGTTAATTTCTTTCCTTCTTAATGCATTTGAGCCAATCAGTTTTGTTGTGACAAGGTAGGGGGGGTATACAGAAGATAGCCCTATTTGGTAAAATACCATTGGTATAAGAAATGCAACAAAAAATGTATGTCCAACAAGCTATTCTATTCTAGCTTTTCCTGCATGGGACTCCAAGAGCTAAGGAGCGTTTTTTAAGGAGAGGCCAGCGGCGCACACGTGCTGGCGTATTGCACAAGAGATAGAGGCTTTAAGTTAGAAGCTTATTAAGCATAACACATCATTAATTAGCTAAATATAAGGCTAATACTGCATTTAATTCATTACCTGAAAGAGGTAGGCTAGGACATCTATATATAGTATACAGTATCAATCTAGAACAGGATTATTATCTATTTTGGATGAAATTTGAATGGAGTTGATGGAGAGAGAGAGAGAAAGACAAAGTGCTCGCCCGTTCACTGATTTAACGCAACGATATTCGAGTGATAGGCTGTTTTAAAACTCGGGAGCTGCAATAAAAACAAAATCTTTACAATTAAAAAACAAGGTGACCCCCAAAAGCCAGATGGAGATGGGTAAATTAGATGTGCATTCGATCTTTATATTTCTGTAGCATAGAATATGCGGCAGCAAATGCAGGCCTACCTGTCACAAGACAAAAAGTTACCATGATGAGATGATAGGTCTACATGCATTGTGAACTGCGCTCCATACTGAGATGGGCTGTCTGTCACCACCCTGAGCAAAGGCCGTAGAGAAGCCAGATTTAGACAATGCATACATTTTAAAAGTTTCCTTTCACGCCTTGCTGTTCATATCATTTATTGTAATTTACCCGTTTCTCATAGTTATTTATCCCGGGAAAGGGGAGTGGATTTTGGGCGGTAAATCCCAGTAACCGGGTTCCCGCCATTCAACCCTACACCCATATTCAAGCGTGCGCACACACACACACACACACACACACACACACACACACACACACAGTGAAGTAGTCCCAGGCAGCTATGACATTACCTTGGTGTCCTATATGTTCCTCACCTGGGGGAGTGTAGGCATCCATGGAGGACTGCACGACCAGGGAGCGGCGTTTGGAGGGCATGGGTACTGCCATCTTACCACGCTCCTTCTGTTTGGCCAGAGCTGCCTGCACAGCCTCTGTGTGGACATCTGCAACACACACAGGGTAGGACAGACATGTTGTAAGGCCACAAACTCACAGATTTCATCTTTATTCTGGGAACACGCAAGTGAAACGTAACTACACTGCTCAAAAAAATAAAGGGAACACTTAAACAACACAATGTAACTCCAAGTCAATCACACTTCTGTGAAATCAAACTGTCCACTTAGGAAGCAACACTGATTGACAATACATTTCACATGCTGTTGTGCAAATGGAATAGACAACAGGTGGAAATTATAGGCAATTAGCAAGACACCCCCAATAAAGGACTGGTTTTGCAGTTGGTGACCACAGACCACTTCTCAGTTCCTATGCTTCCTGGCTGATGTTTTGGTCACTTTTGAATGCTGGCAGTGCTTTCACTGTAGTGGTAGCATGAGACGGAGTCTACAACCCACACAAGTGGCTCAGGTAGTGCAGCTCATCCAGGATGGCACATCAATGCGAGCTGTGGGAAGAAGGTTTGCTGTGTCTGTCAGCTTAGTGTCCAAAGCATGGAGGCGCTACCAGGAGACAGGCCAGTACATCAGGAGATGTGGAGGAGGCCGTAGGAGGGCAACAACCCAGCAGCAGGACTGCTACCTCCGCCTTTGTGCAAGGAGGAGCAGGAGGAACACTGCCAGAGCCCTGCAAAATGACCTCCAGCAGGCCACAAATGTGCATGTGTCTGCTCAAACGGTCAGAAACAGACTCCATGAGGGTGGTATGAGGGCCCGACATCCACAGGTGGGGGTTGTGCTTACAGCCCAACACCGTGCAGGACGTTTGGCATTTGCCAGAGAACACCAAGATTGGCAAATTCGCCACTGGCGCCCTGTGCTCTTCATAGATGAAAGCAGGTTCACACTGAGTCTGGAAACGCCGTGGAGAACGTTCTGCTGCCTGCAACATCCTCCAGCATGACCGGTTTGGCGGTGGGTCAGTCATGGTGTGGGGTGGCATTTCTTTGGGGGGGCCGCACAGCCCTCCATGTGCTTGCCAGAGGTAGCCTGACTGCCATTAGGTACCGAGATGAGATCCTCAGACCCCTTGTGAGACCATATGCTGGTGCGGTTGGCCCTGGGTTCCTCCTAATGCAAGACAATGCTAGACCTCATGTGGCTGGAGTGTGTCAGCAGTTCCTGCAAGAGGAAGGCATTGATGCTATGGACTGGCCCGCCCGTTCCCCAGACCTGAATCCAATTGAGCACATCTGGGACATCATGTCTCGCTCCATCCACCAACGCCACGCTGCACCACAGACTGTCCAGGAGTTGGCGGATGCTTTAGTCCAGGTCTGGGAGGAGATCCCTCAGGAGACCATCCGCCACCTCATCAGGAGCATGCCCAGGCGTTGTAGGGAGGTCATACAGGCACGTGGAGGCCACACACACTACTGAGCCTCATTTTGACTTGTTTTAAGGACATTACATCAAAGTTGGATCAGCCTGTAGTGTGGTTTTCCACTTTAATTTTGAGGGTGACTCCAAATCCAGACCTCCATGGGTTGATACATTTGATTTCCATTGATAATTTTTGTGTGATTTTGTTGTCAGCACATTCAACTATGTAAAGAAAAAAGTATTTAATAAGATTATTTCATTCACTCAGATCTAGGATGTGTTATTTTAGTGTTCCCTTTATTTTTTGGAGCAGTGTATTTAATTTGTATCCAACTTCAGTGAAATTTGTGTAATGCACATGCTATATTTTACTGAACACTATGGGCCAGTTTCCCAGACACAGATTAAGCCTAGTCTTGGACTAATTAACACTTTCAATAGACAATCTCCATTGAAAATGACTTTTAGTCTAGCACTAGACCGGGAAACCGTTCTGTGTCCGGGAAACTGGCTAAAAATAATCTAACAACATATCATCTAAGAACAACAATTACATGCCTGTAGCCACTCTTTTTAAAAAGCATGGAAGATTGGGATGTAACCATCACTCTGAACATTGATGAAAAACGACTTCAGAAGATCCACAGTGTATGTACAGTAAAAAGCTAAATTGTTCACTGCTGCTCCTCTTAAAGTGGTAGTTTCTCTTCTACACTGGGGACTCCACCTCTGTTGGCTGCTCACAAAAAGCAAGACAACATCTCACACTATGTCAACTAATCTTACCAAAGAGCGAGCTTGGTTTTAGTGAGGAAAAACAATTGCCAGTAACCTACGCCCTTTATGTCATGATGCTTTAGTGGCTCTGTTTCGTAATGGCCATTGAGAACAGGCTATATTTGCATCCCAAATGGCACCCTATTCCCTTTATAGTGCACTACTTTGAGCACATAGGGCTCTGGTCAAAAGTCACAACGAGTGCACTATATAGGTAATAGGGTGCCATTTGGGATGCATGCAAAGCCTTGGTGGTTGTCAGGTATTCTTTAATTCAACATTAATCCTGTTTTTATAGGGCTGTATTTTAGGGACCTCTGTGTCTATTGGCTGCTCCCTCTATGGCTGGGTCTGAATAATGTCCCAATAATGTCCTCAGACAACTGGGGCTTAATGTGAGATCATTGTGTTCAGCCCTATAATAGGCTATTACAGATGAAAAAATTAAGAGCATCAATAGCAGTGTGTACGGTAAGGTCCTGTGTAGTTCAGTTGGTAGAGCATGTCGTTTGCAACACCAGGGTTGTGGGTTCGTTTCCCACGGGGGGCCTGTATGAAAATGTATGCACTCACTAACTGTAAGTCGCTCTGGATAAGAGTGTCTGCTAAATGACTAAAATGTCAAATGTAAGGCTAAGCACTGGTAAAACACAACACAACCCATGATTCAGCTTTTATAGACTATAGTACTGGCATGTTACAATAGGTATTGTGTCACACCAGTAAATCAAATTCAGGTTTTCTATCTGTGCTTGGCAGTTGTTGTTACTACAGACTGTAGCCGTGGTTGCCAACTGGACTACAGCTAGGACTGTTGCAAAGCTAGTCCTGTAAATGTGTGTTCCACATGGCATCCTATTGTCTACATAATGTGTAGCAGAGCTCTGGTCAATAGTAGTGCACTATATAAGGATTAGGGTGCCATTTGAGACACAGACAATGTGTTTCTAAGACGAGGCTGGAGCGCGGTGCCAGAATCTGTGGCTGCTGTGTTGAAGCAGAGCCATTTGTCTGCGAGAGAGAGGGGGAGGGGGAGGTGACTACTAATGAAGCAAGCTGTTGAGCTGGTAATAGCATAAGTGGTTCATTGGTATACAATAAATAAGAGTGATAAACATTAAACAGCATTAAGGGGTAAATAAAAAGGTGTTGAGCTTGTTTTTATGCTATTAGTATTAAGAGTGAGATTAACAAAAACAAAGCTTTTGCTAATTATGTTACCGCAAACCTGGACATTTTATTTAGTGGTAAAAATGCAGTGCTCCATTAGTGTTCCTATACTGTCCTATAGTAACTGACTAGAACTACAAACTGTATAACATGATTTTGAGGATTGTGCTACTGTTTGGGTTGAGGGAAATTAACTGCCACTACCTCGCTTTCCAACCAAGATGCAAACTGAAGTGAAGAGGAAATTCAGCAACTCTTGGCGGTAAGAGGAAGTTGATAAAAATACTGTTTGGAGTTTCTTTGTGTGAAGTTGAAAGGTGTCGTTGTCCTACCTGATCTGTAGCGTTCGTCCCGGGAGCCAGAGGAGCGGCGGCGGTGGTAGCGAGAGGAGGAGCCGGGGGTGACGGGGGTTCTCCTCTCGTGGGGCACAGAGGGGTCCATCCCTGGGGGGGAAGAAGAGGAAGACAGAGTTACCTACAGCACAGCCTGGCCTGACCACCATCACCACAGCAACTGGTACTAGATTACAGAGGCCTTTCCCATGGGCGCTACAGACCGAACACAGCAGACTCTAGTATGCTGTTTTTACACATGGATACTAGTTGTTCCTGCCAAAACCAGCACCTGGATCTAAACACACTGCTGTGCACAGGGGTTTCTCTTTCTTTTTTGCATGGCAGATACTAGCCTATTATAGATGATATTATGAGCATATAGTGGTGTACTGTACAGTATAAGGATAACATGAATAGATTGATGAAAAATAGAGGGAAAATAATTCATTATACAGTCTGCATCTACATGGTTAAACTGAGTATCGGTATTATTTATTCTGGCAGGCACATCAACTTTATTTCACCAAACTCTAAGACATCCATGGACATTATTGGCTATTATTCCAGTCTGTCTGGCAAGGTATTGTTACGCTCCATTTAAACGGAGGGTCCCCTCAATTAACCCTGTTTCCTATTAAATCCATCAGGGGACTGGGTCACTCACCCTGTCAATCTGCATCCCAAATGGAATCATATTCCCTACATAGTACACTACTTTTGAGCAGAGCCTATGGGCTCTGGTCAAAAGTAGTGCACTATATAGGGAATAAGATGCCATTTGGGATGCACCTAGCCTCTCATTGTCAATTACAGCATAGTGGCAATCAGCCCCTGAACCTCAACAAGGTCGCTCTCTGGATGAGACGATTTTCAGGGTAAATCCTATACACACAACAGTTACAATAACTCTCACAAACAACTGTTTACTATTATTCTACTGTTGCAGACAGTCTGCTAGCTAGACAACACAAAGCTAGTGCTCTATGACTGATGCTACAATGGCTTTTGACTAAATCTCCATTGTCTTCATTACTGCCCAACACAACAAAGAAACCATGAAATAATAATAATAATAAATAATATGCCATTTAGCAGACGCTTTTATCCAAAGCGACTTACAGTCATGCGTGCATACATTTTTCGTGTATGGGTGGTCCCGGGGATCGAACCCACTACCTTGGCGTTACAAGCGCCGTGCTCTACCAGCTGAGCTACAGAGGACCACAATAATCAAAGCTCTAAGCATGAGCTTCAGCAATGCAGCCATTTGTAATAGTCTAGGTAAGTGCCTCAAAAAGCGGATCACTTTCTGCTCTGCTATAATGACCATTGGTTTACCACTGAGACGTTTGATAGATTGATGATCCCATTCCCCCTTCCTATTGCAGATTGACAAGCACAGAGAACACTCATCCACATACACACGCACACCTTAAAGGAAATCAACCTCAGTCTCTTCTGTTCCTGTCCGCCTTTCACAGGGATATATGCTAAATTCAATAAGAGGCTCGATGGAGGAGTCCGTGACCTCAATAGTAACAACATACATAGATTGGTAAAGATTTCTGAATGTGTTTTAAGGTCCGAAATTTTAGCCTGAAGAATTTCTCAAAGACAAAGACTCCCTTAGGGGAGTCACCTATAATAGGGTTTGAATTAGAGCTACCTGTAGTACACAGAGATACTGAGTGAAGACAGCGCTTTTTCAAGCTGCACTATATAGATCTCAATGGTTTAGATAGTCTTGCACTGCCAGGCATCACTTAGTAAACCTGGAATGGCTTGAGTCGAGGCTAGATAGAGAAAGGTTGTTGCTGGTGTTCTAAATGGCAATGCACATGCATTAACAGGGTCGTTCCACCAATTAACGTAGTGAAAAAAACACATTATTTCACCTATTTTAACGTTATCATAAAGAGCACATGTTCAACGTAATAAAAAACACGTTTTCCCATAAATAAATAAAATACTATAGTAAGTGCATAGTAGCCCTTTACAGTTGTACCCATACAGTTCCTTCGGAAAGTATTCAGACCGCTTGACTTTTTCCACATTTTGTTACGTTACAGCCTTATTCTAAAATGGATTAAATAAATAAAAATATCTCAGCAATCTACACACAATACCCCATAATGATGAAGCAAAAACAGGTTTGTAGACATTTTTGCTAATTTATTAAAAATAAAAAACAGAAATACCTTATTTACATAAGTATTCAGACCCTTTGCTATCAGCTCAGACGCATCCTGTTTCCATTGATCATCCTTGAGATGTTTCTACAACTTGATAGGAGTCCACCTGTGGTAAATTCAATTGATTGGACATGATTTGGAAAGGTACACACCTGTCTATATAAGGTGTTGACAGTTGACAGTTCATGTCAGAGCAAAAACCAAGCCATGAGGTCGAAGGAATTGTCCGTAGAGCTCAGAGACAGGATTGTGTCGAGGCACAGATCTGGGGAAGGGTACCAATTTTTTTTTGCAGCATTGAAGGTCCCCAAGAACACAGTGGCCTCCATCATTCTTAAATGGAAGAAGTTTGGAACCACCAAGACTCTTCCTAGAGCTGGCCGCCTGGCCAAACTGAGCAATCGGGGGAGAAGGTCCTTGGTCAGGAAGGTGACCAAGAACCCGATGGTCACTCTGACAGAGCTCTAGAGTTCCTCTGTAGAGATGGGAGAACCTTCCAGAAGGTCAACCATCTCTGCAGCACTCCAGCAAGAGGCCTTTATGGTAGAGTGGCCAGACGGAAGCCCCTCAGTAAAAGGAACATGACAGTCCACTTGGAGTTTGCCAAAAGGCACCTAAAGAAGATTGAACGCTTTGGCCTGAATGCCAAGAGTCACGTCTGGAGGAAACCTGGCACCATCCCTACGGTGAAGCATGGTGGTGGCAGCATCATGCTGTGGGGATGTTTTTCAGCGGCAGGGACTGGGAGACTAGTCAGGATCGAGGGAAAGATGAACGGAGCAAAGTACAGAGAGATCCTTGATGAAAACCTGCTCCAGAGCACTCAGGACCTCAGACTGGGGCGAAGGTTCACCTTCCAAAGGGACAACGACCCTAAGCACACAGCCAAGACAATGCAGGAGTGGCTTCGGGACAAGTCTCTGAATGTCCTTGAGTGGCCCAGCCAGATCCCGCACATGAATCCTATCTAACATCTCTGGAGAGACCTGACAATAGCTGTGCAGCAATGCTCCCCATCCAACCTGACAGAGCTTGAGAGGATACAGGAGTGCCAAGCTTGTAGCATCATACCAAAGAAGACTCGATGCTGTAATCGCTTTCAACAAAGTACTGAGTAAAGGGTCTGAATACTGATGTAAATGTAATATTTCCGTTTTATTTAATAAATATAAATTGGCTAAAAATGTCCAAAAACCTGTGTTTGTTTGATCATTATGGGGTATTGTGTGTAGATTGATCAATTTTAGAATAAGGCTGTAATGTAACAAAATCTGGAATAAGTCAAGGGGTCTGAAAAGCGCCTGAATTGGAACGCAAGTGGCTGTGCAGTAACATGCTATACATGTCAGAGCTCAGGGTCTCCGCTTCACAGCTTTGTATGGATTTTGACCCTTTCTGAACTTGATCACCGCGCGCGACAAGAAGTTGCCCTCATCTCTCTCGCTAATTGGGCAACTTTTGCACATTTTTGTTGACTGAGTGAGGGAAATGCTGTAAATTATGAGGACTTGATGCGTTTTAAAAGATGAGACCTTGAGGATTATAATAAATACCACTTTGATGTCATACAAGCAAGCCAAACACCCACGGGTCCAAACATGCACTTCCCATTTCCATATCATAATACTAATGTCATATACAGTGTCAACGTTTATGATCACTATGTTTGATGTACAGTTACTAGATGACATGGCGTCATACCCTGGGTTGTTCTGAACAGAACGAGCCTATCTTTGTCTATTTTGAAGAACATTTGCCTTGGAACACGCATCTGAATGCACTCATGACTCCTTTCTATGCACACCATAATAACGATCTGTTTCTCTGAATTGCCTTCAAAGCCTAACACTAAGATTGTATTTTATAATTTAGCTAGTCATGTTGGCAATAGAATAAGCTTTCAAATTATGCCCACCTGACCCAGATTGCAATTTATAATGGACCGTTTTTGGGTTGCATAAACATCAGTAATTGTGTGATGGCGGGGATGCAGGGTTGTGATCCAAATGAAACAACTGCAAGTGTCCTTGCGCTAGTTCCTCAATGGTACAGCTAGGAGAGCTCAAAGCACCTTATACACTACATGTTCAAAGGTTTGTGGACACCTGCTCATCGAACATCTCATGAGCATTAATATGGAGTTCCTAATTTAACCTAGTTGTGGGGAATCCACTGATGAATGTATTATCTTACAAACCACTTACAGTAAAGTCTGTTTGTCCTGGACCTCCACTTCCCAATCAATAGATTTCCACTTGAGACCAGTACAGTATCTGTTTCATGTATGTGCTCAGACTTCTCAGACTCACTGTGGTGCACTGGGCTAGAGACTCAGAGGAAACAACCATCACACTACTGGCATAACTGTCTGCTGTCTCAGCCTTTTATTTACTTGATGAGAATACCTGGCCCCATGTGAGGACCGACTAGGATTGCAAAACTTCCAACCGGGATTTCTAGAGAACCTAGGAATTTTGGGAAAGTTACCGGAATTTTGCAACCCTAGTCACAGACCAGGCATTCTCATGACACTCCACTGACCTTTCTAATGGTTCTGCAGTGGTAGCCAGCAGAGTGTACAAGTGGTTATTAGATTCCTGAGTAACAGTTGGTAAGAGGGTGGTGAAGGAGCCATTTCATCTGGGAGCCATTTCAGACCGACCGTACACCCACCGCCAAATTAAGCCCTGTGATGGTGCTTGAATATATTACCCTTAGATTATTATTATTATAGTAAGGCACTTTACATGTCTGGCACTGTCTCGCCCCGGCCATGACATTTTAACGGCACATTATATTTCTGTAATACGATTGGTTTTCAGCAGCCGCCCCGTAGAGGGTGAATAGGGCTGGGAGAGAGCCTGGGAGGAAGGCTCACACACAGCAATGCTATACAGTGCTACAGAGCATCTCAC